GGGGCGCCCCCACATGGCGGCTTCGCTGCCTCGCAGCTGCGGGCGGCCCTGCCCGCCCCGACCCGCCCGGGGGCCGAAGTCACGGGCGGGACATCCTGTCACCGCGGGGAGAATGGGGTGACACGGCCTCACTTGGACCGGGGGAGAAAAAGGCAACGAAAGGAAAGGAGATAAAAGCAGAGTTTCTGTGTATGTGAAACATACAGGAAATTTACATTCAATCGTTGAATTGGCAAGGCCTCACAAGCTATTGCTTTTTATTCTCCAAAGGGAATTTCCAAGGGATTCCTTAGTCCCTGATTATCATGATTTATTAAGTTGTTTGTCAAGACTCATTGCTTTAGAGAAGAACGTAACCAAGAGCTCTTTCCGGTCCCTCTCTGGCAATAGTCATGCGTGAAACCTTCCAGCAGCCCCGCCTTGGAAGTCTGAGGGCTACTTCAGCAACTGTCCTAAACCTCTACAAGTACCTTCTAGGCATCTAGAAAGTACTTTTCTCATCTAACTTAAATTATTCCAACCAGCCTCCCATGCACACACAACCAGTCATCCTAACTGAAAGCAAAAAAGGCAGAAGAAACGAGAGAGGAAAGCTCCAAGAAAAACATTGTTAAACATAAACCCAATAGGATAATCAGCACAAAAATGCAGTTAGCTTAATGATTAAATATACTGGTCAGCGTAAGATAAAAATCTGGTGCATCAGGAAGCACCCTTCCTCAGCGACTGCTTGCTATCCTGCCTGTCTGCTCAGTGTCCCATAAGACAATTCCTTAGAAAGCAGTATGTCAGCTTCAGAACTAACAGATACGGCCACTGGGGTTAGTAACGCAGGAGTCTAGTAATATTCTAGCTTTACATCATCACAGGAAAATATAATAGCAATATAAACCAGCGTGGCCCAAGTCAGTAATCAGTGTAATTTGAATGTAAACGCTAACCTACCCAAATAATTTTAGGTAGTGCCTTTGGTGAGCTATCTAATTCCAGCCCTACAGGCCTATTTTCACATACTTACTCTCACAAATTTCATGGGATGTTTTGCCACTACTTACAATGGTATCAGAATTTGGCCTGCAATATGAATCTAAGGGCCCAAGCCAGCAATCACTTCACTCTCAAAAACTCCACTGAAGTCAACAGAAGACTCCCATTATGCACTACTGACAGAACCCAGAGGCAAAAATGACTCTTCCAAAAACCAGAAATTAACAGACCATGAATATATCATGAGTTCCCTGTAGCTGACAGCTTATGGGCTACTGCCCAACATTGTGATTTTAAAAAGAGAGACTGTTGTATAAGGTAATGAAATAAGTACCTTCAAGATGTACACTGGGACGAGGGATAGTAACAGAAAACCACCTTTTGCCTCATTAAAACATGCCACCACAGAGAAATAAGGAAAGAGGATAACACCCTTTGTCAGTCTAACTTAAAGCTATCCACTGTTCTGGATTTCATTACCTTCTGTTTATTAAAATACCTATTCTGTAAGGAACAAATAGTAACATTTTTGAAGGAAATAATTTGCCAAAAGGGAAAGGGACAGTACAGCAAATGCATCTGTTGTCAAACTCCTGTGATGTAGATAGGGAACTTGCAAATATTACCCTGGTTTGCAAATACAGGCTGTCAGATGTACCTGTGATACCTGAAGAGTTCAAAAGCATTTTTAGGAATCAAGACTAAGTAATGATTTTAGTATTGTGAAAATTGGGGAATACTATAAAGAACAATGCATTTATATCCAATTTAGTATGGGATATTAAAAAAAACCCTATGGATTTTAATACATACAGAGATGAGAAAAAATATTCTAAAAGCAGTGGCCAGTCATGAACTAAAACCAATCCTTTATCACATTTTCCATTGCAACAGATAAAAATTTTGAAGACAACTCCCCACACTGGCATTTCCCACAAGAAAAGAAAGTTTAATATAAAAACTTTACATCAAAGCGCAACATTTATTTCAGCATTTTAACCACTGAGGTGAATTAACATAACTAGACTAATATAATTTTTCAAATAGCAAATTGTAGGAACAGATAAAGAATGCTGTGACATTTTAGACCTAGTCAGTGTGCTTGTAATTTTGGCTCTTTTGAGCAATTTTTAGGTTATGTCTATGGTGTAGCTGGATGTGAGATAACAGCAAAATTACACAAATAGTCAATTGACATGGATGAGCTGAGGTAACAAAGCAGCGAAGATGCAGCAGAAGAGCCCTGAAGATGCATTAAAAATCTTTGTATGTAATCCAGGTGCTCTAAGGAGGTTTTGTACAGTCCCTATTGCTGCCTCTTCTCTGCTATGGTAACCAAATAAAGCTCAGCAGGCAATCTCAGTCAGAAAAGGAAAGAACATGGATAAATAAGAAGTCAGAAAAATACAGAAAACATGACAACAAAATGCTGAAATGCAGAAAAGTAAGAGTAGAAAAACATTACAGCAAGGCTGAAAATACTGGTTGTTTATTACGATAAGACTCAAAGACTCAATCACAAATTATTTCACAAGGAAAGAAATGGAAAAGAAAAAAAAAGATCATGAGCTTCTGCTTCCCTTCACAAGAACTATTCCTAATGAAATTTAAAAATAAAATTCAAAATAAAAACTGCGCACAAATGGTTACAATATGAAAAATCACTACTATGAGAAGTCAAACAGACTGACGAAAATGAGTATCTTACTATGGATAACAACAGTACCCGCTCTAAGAACTCTTAATGTTAAAATGTAAGAACCAAATGTTTATGAGCAGATGTCTATCTGAAACTCTTAAAAGTTATACTGACTGCTGCGAGATTTTCCATATCCTCTTACTCAGTTTCTGCATCTTCCTCAGGAACAATCTCATGTTGGACACTGCTGGAAATGGGATTCTGGACTAGATGGGTCTAGGTGTGGTGAATCAGTCTCATAAATCCTACATTTACTTACTTTTGAAGTATGTAATATCTTGTAGAGACAAAACACATTTTGACTGAGGGGTGAAATGCTTAGGTATTAATTTAGAGTTTTCTATCTTCCTTAAGAGATAGCTGCTTCTACTGAGGCTACTTCCTAATATTTACATATTTGGGTAGCAGATGTCCTAATTCCCATAAAACAAGAAGATACAAATTCATCATTATGAAAAATAATCTGTGAGGAGTGTAGAGGTGAAAAAAAAACAGTCACTGGAGCATGTTAATTTAACTGACAGTGGTCTGAGCTATCTATTGGTGGATATATAGCTTTAGTGACTCATCATTGGAATGGTAAAAAAGCCAATAGGATAATTTGCAAGAGCCATTTCTGAGAACTGTATTGCTTATTGGTCAGTAATTTGCCAAATTTTCTACAGGTATAATCTTTCTTTCCACAGTTGTGAGAAAAATCTACCATTCAGAATCATGGATCATATTCTTAGAAGAAAAATGACAATTAAATAATTTATTTTAAAATTCTTTCCAAGATACTATAATGCCTCTTTTTGCCATTAGATTATCTGTCCATTCTACAGTGAAGGTACTGAGGAAATGTTTTTCCATTCATTCATGGAAGTCTCCCTGTTGAACTTTTCATAAGCTTTACTCCAGTTAAAAAATAAATGGAGAAACAATAAATGCAAATACAAATGTTAATTAAGTGTTTAATTCCTAGCCCAAATCTTAGAAAGACAAATTATTTTGCTGAATGAAACATCAGATATGCTAATGACTTAATAAATCATGCTTTTCAATAATTTTATTTTTATATTAAATTATCCATCCAATTAATATTTCTGTTTTCTACTAAAATATTGTTGAAATCAGACATTGCTTGAAGTGCCTGCATGAGGAATACATATGGCATCCATGTGTATATAGCAGTGGAATTATTAATACTGATGCTTTGCTAAGAGTTGATAGTGATGGAACATTTGCAAGTGCTGTTCCTAAACAATGATGCAATCAAGAATGTACCAGTTCTCTAGGGTGTTAAGTTGATAAACATTTGCGTAACAGGCACTTATATTTTTCTTGCTGTGATTAATGCAAACAAGATGATAAGGGAAACTAAAGGCAAAATTTGCTGCTATTTCTCTTTTAGTACAAAAATCCCTTGTGCCCCTATTTTGCTTAGGAATATGCTTTATTGAAATTTCTGCACATATATTAAATTAACTTTAACACTTTAACATGACAAATAAGGGTTATTACACAGCGATAGAGCATTCCAGCATTCCATTTCAATGTAAAATGAACATAATTATAGCAATTTTTGGCTTTGCCATTTTGCAGTAATGGAGGCCTGCATCTTTTGCAGAAACAACTTATATATTTATTTTCCTTGATTTTTTTCATGCTTTGTTTCCAGAGGTAAATGTACAAAGAATTATAATGTGTTATAATGCAATATAAAGTAATTGGTCTGGTTTATTTATTTTTTAAATTAATATTACATTACTCACACTAAAAGAAAAACAAATGCAACATATATAGCTAAATAAAATAGATCAATAAATAGTATTCTTACCAAAGGCCTAAGTTCTGGATGAGTCAAAATATATCCGTTGTTTGTAATTGCAAAAGCATACCCATGAATACCTAACTGTAAGAGAAAATAAAAAAGAAATACTAATTAGCATGGTCTCCAGTAAATTCTTAAACAAAAAAAATCAAGCAAGAATTTAGTTATCCAGGGCTTAAAGCTGGCATTCATAGCCCTTATCCACATAGTATTTCATTATAACATATGCAGAGCTCTGATCTTTCACATTTTGTGAAAATGAGAACCTGTCATTGTGATAAACTCAGCATATAGCACAATTTTAAAATGTCACACACGCTTTGTTATTTAGGGCACTTATTTCTGCATGCTTTAGAGTGAACTAGATAGATGTATATATGAGACATGATAGCATGTGGCATATACCACAGCACATGCCAAAGCAAAGAGATGATAGAATTCAGTAAAATCACATATTCCATAGGAGTGGCTTGGTTCAGCTTACTTCGCTTGTTCAAGAGACGTTGGAAAACTACAATCATTCAAATCAATGGTACTGAATGTAGAGTTATAGTGAGTGAGCAGTGGTCTGTCATGTGTGATATTTAGATCTTCCAGTCTTAAAGGCATTTTACCTTTCTGTTAATTCAAGTTCATCTGGAACCACAGAATGAGGCATATTTCTACTAAAGAAACTCCTGTAAGTTTACATATTTGTACTGAGTGGAACTATGGGAGATCATTTGAAAACACTGAAATGCTTTATGAGGCCTAATGGTGTATGTAATCAAATTTAGTACTGTACTTATTTAAATAACAATACTACTCTTTTAATAATATGCCTATTACACAGTTGATTGCACCCGCTGAATGCAATAAACATACCTTCAAGTCATTCATGTGGTCATTCAAACATCCCTTCTTAGCATAAACACGTTGCTAATGTAGAATCTTTCTGCTGCTTCAGTATGTAACTTTTACCGTGGAAAGAGTACATCTCACTATACTTTCTCACTCTTTTTTTTCCAATTCTGAAGTAGCATAATAAAACAACCCATATATCTTTATTTGAGCATCTTGATGCACTGAGGTATTAAAAAAACAACCAATCAACCAAAAAAAAAATTCCAGCACTATCTTGCTTTGGTATTTACATTTCTCACTACTAACAACATTTTTATTTTACTTCAGTATGTTCTTAAATGCTTTGCTGAAGTGAGTCCTTAGGAATTTGACCGGCATAAAGCAATGTGAGCAAGGTTGACATGTTAGAATCATTTCTAAGAGGCAAGTAGGACAGCGAGTCTGCTAGTTTCAGTAATTTTCTGGAAATATAAACCAGAGTATGATATTATGGCAAGGTCACAGAGAAAACATACCAGGTAGATTTATACCATCTCTCTGTGAATGATTGTATATGGTCAACTGTATCTGCCATATAGAAGATTGTTTCATAAATTAGCGGTTTTCCTAAAGCAATAAACTTCAGTAAAAGTAATAGAAGGTGATATGTTCTTGGCTTCTCTTCATAAAGGAGGTATAACCAAAATCATAACAGTGGACATATTTTACCTATTATAGTATGACAAGTGAACTAGCTGTTGGCTAAATATCAGATCTCAAGTATAATTGTCTGTGTTGATAACTGCAGAATGACATCCAAGCAATGGAAGTCAGGTAAGGAAACAAATGTGGGTGGTATACTTCACAGGAAAAAATATTTTCCTATTTGAAGCATACCCAGACTCCAAGGACAGTATTTTATTGTATGTTGTGCAATATGTGAAACTGCACACCCTCTGCACTTAAAATGCTTTGGTATGAGAGATACTACCACTTACAGCACTATTGCCATTTTAAACCTTGAACTCTACCTCTAAATGACAGATTCAGGAACAAAAAAAAACTTTTCCTAACTGTTGTAAAATGCCACATGAGAAATAAGTATTACTAAATCCAACCATACCTTATTCAGGAGAAACTGCCACTGACATCTGGGGAAGTTCAGTCTAGACAATGACTGCTGAAAATAGCTTATTGTTATTATTCATCTTCCTCGGCGTAAAATCCACCCCATCCAAGCTGAGAGAATTCCAGGTCAGCAGAATCCTATTTCCAACCAATCATTTTATATCCCTGTGTGAATTTCATTTCACTTGCTGCCTCTACAGGAATGGGTCCCAGGGGTGATTATGCTCTTGCAATTGCATCGTCTTTTTACTGTTCAGAAATGTTTATGGTATGTGAGACTGGAAGTTATAACTCAAGTGATTTCACTAACCTGACTGTATTGCATGATATTGGTGCCTGCTGTAATAATCCTCTCTTGTACTACATCCTGCAATATAAAACGTACCTTCAAGTAAAAAGTCTAATATTTAGAAGAAGGATTGTATATTACTTCCACAGAAAACTAAGTCTTAAAAAAATATAGTATCATATGACAAAAGCTGAAATTTTAATTTCCCTGCCTATCTTCTCCTTTTTTGAATCACTCTAGCTCTGCCGCAATACCTGTTATTCAGGCCCCACACTCTTCCTAGGTTCTTGCATTCAGACTATATCCAAATCTTACAGATGACTTCTGAATTACATCACTGTGATAATGGCCTCTTCTATCCAGCCATGCACAGCCAGGCTTTCATTTCTGCAGTTACTACAACATTGTTCTTTTTCATTACAAATGAAACTTGCTCTACCCATAGCTCCTTAGAAGGCTGTTCCAAAGATTGTTTCCATTGCTGCAAATCTTGCTCCTTTCTCTTCTACCTTCTACTGATTCTGTATTTTTGCATACACAAAAGTATACTATAAATTGTGGTCAGCTAACTTTGGTGGATAGTGCACTGAGTGTTCTCTGCCATTTATCCTGACAAGCTATGTCTCTGTTCACTATGTTCCGATGTCAACGTGTAGTCATCTGCTGCCTCTTCGCATAGTCTGCAGACTTTTTCCCAGCTGGGATAGCCTTTCTATTCTGTGTTTGCATAGCATTTAGCCTTTAGTGGGATCCAGGACACAGGAAACTACTCCAATACACCTTATCAACATTATTTCCAGTATTTTATGCATTATTTTTATCAAATTATCATTTAACTTAAACTTTCCAGTTACTGCATATTGATTTACAAAATCATTTGGTAATTGCTAATGTATTCAAATTAGAATTAAAATCGATAGGAGGATTTTTTTTTTTCCTCCTAACTATAATTATCTACAAAAACATGTAAAAATATTCAAAGGCACTCACAAGTCAGCATATTCTTCCAACCTCTTAGAAATCAGTAAATGAGAGCATGGTGGTCAACTAAGAGGAAAGTATGACGTACAAATTTATGCTCAGCAGAAAGGTAGAAAATCGAAGAATCTTTGAAATGGTTGGTGGAACAACTGCTGCAGCATGAAAATTAAATTGTACAGTGGCAGTACTGGAAGAGATGTGCATTCAGCATAGGGTGGTGTCCTTTTTTCTGGTTTTCAGAAGAGAAAATTTCCAATAGCCGATCTCTCTAGAAAACGCTGTCTGTGGTATTGTTATGTGCTTATTTGTCTTGGAAAAAAAATTACGCGAGGACTTAACTGGAAAATGTTAATTTCATTTTCATTTGTGAATAAAACAGCACTAAAGCATTTCAGACATAAAGAAGTAACATAATACTAATGTATTGCATCAAATTTCAATTAAAAGTAATTATATCTTTGCCTTTGCCTGAAGCCTACTTTTACTGAGTTACAAATGTTTACCATAGATGAAGCCCCTCAAATTTTGAAAACTTTTCTGATAATTATTTTTTAAGAGTTTTATAGTAGAGTTATCTCTGACTTTGGAAAACTATGTAGAGGGAAATCTGGTACATGGAATTGGGGACAGGAAGTGCTTCACCCAGGCAGAAAGCCTTAAGCCACATTAAGGATAGATTTTTCATTTGGTTTCCATACAAAGTGTTGCAAATTTTCAGCATGAATTTCTGGTTATGTTGTGTAGTATTCTGGTTATGTTGTAAGGTTGAATAATTTCATTGATTTTATTATGGACAATACTTAATATTACCTTCTACATCACACTGTGATATGCAAAAATGTGAAAATCAAGCCATATATTAATTTTGGTATTAAAAACTGGACATGAGCTCAGGACCAATGACATTTAGCCATCAGATACTACAGAGCTAAAATTCCTGAGGAAAATGAGTGAAATAATGGAGCTACATTAGTATAAGCAGTATTAACATGCTAAATAAATTATATTATAGATATTATTCTGAGTATAAAGGACATATCATTTGTATATTACCTTGTATTTTGGAATAGTTTTTAAAAGCTCTTTAACTGGAACGTCTGTGCCAACTACTCCCAGAAGAATCCCTTTAGATCTCTGAAAAGAACAATAAAAAATGTACTCAGAACCACAATAAAGAACATTCTCACTGCTCATTTCACATTACAGCTATTTCACAGAAGTGAATAGATAACAGACAAATAATTTGAAAAGTGGGGGAGGAGATACTGGTACATCTCATCTGATCAAATAGTCATTTAATCAATAATATTGCTCCTTTCTACTTTGTTTGCAATTCACATAGAAAAGGCATGCAAACTTTTGATAGCTATTGAGTCCCTCAACAGAAAACTTCCTCATGCAAAATAGTTTTTGAATGAAAAAGTACTGTTAAAAATACATTACTCCCTTATTTCCCAATTTCTCCCGCCATTTAATAAACAAAAAAGAAAGATGAAGCATTAACAGGGAAGTACATGTAATTTTCTTTAATAACCTGTTAAATTAGTAAAGATAAACAGATACATTCATAATATACATATGATTAATTAAATTCAGAGTTTTTTGAAATAGAAGTCTATCAGTGCAAAGAAGAAAAGGATATAGATTATTTGCTGTAAGTAGGTGATACAGAAGTAAAAAAACTCTAAGGTCTCATGTCATCTGAGATTTTTTTCTTAGACAAGGTTTCATTATTTTACTACAGTAACTAGAGCATAGTTATCCATACTCAGACAAAATAAGAAGAAGAGAAGAAAATTTTTCAGAACAGGCTAAAATCTTATTAGGTCCCTGAAAGCAGCTTCATTGAAGTCACCCCATTATCACATGGCAGAAATAGTCTGAGTACTTACAGTCTCATTTTGCTTACTAAATACTGGCATGGCAACAGTTGTCATCAACACCAATCCCTGATCATCAGCAAGCTATATTTGAAAAAGAAATATTATCTCTAAGAACCAAGGAACAATTACAGACATGTAATGGCAGTTTTGAATTACATTCTCTTCATTTTAAATGAGATAAGGCTATTTTTCTAAGTGATGCTTATGTAGTTAGACTTGCAGTCAGTGTAGCCCAGCCCAGCCTCCATCTCAACTATACCAGCTCTGCCCACCCCACCATCTGCATTGGCAGAAAAGATGCCTCATCTTCACTCCTACTGCAGTCTCCCATGAGGGATATGTAGGGGCTGAAATGTGGATTGTGGAAGCAGCATGTGCAGTAGCAAAGCAGCTGGAGCTCTGTTCTACATCTTTCCCAGTGTCAGCTCTGCCAACATTGCCTCAGGCTGTTTTCTCCCAGCAAGGAACAAGAGGTCATGAGTTGCATGCACTTTGTTCTGGTCCAGACTGAGATCTCATCAGCTAACACAGCGACAGAAAGGATGACAGCCAGTTAGGATCCCAGGAGCATCTTTGCTCCATCCGGTTTCAGTTTGCTGGACAAAGAGGCAGCATGAAGCATTAGCTTATTCTGCACATCAGGTTTCAACATATTTCTTCAATTTAGGGAGAAAACAGATCTCCTGACCTTGGTTCCATTCAAGAGAAACATGTAGAATGCTTATTATTGGCCACAGGAGAATGACATTGCTCAGACTATGGTCTCTTCACTCTTCACACCCTCTGGTCAGACTACATCTTTACCATAAGGCAAAGGCTAACAGCGATGCTCAAGACAAGCACTGCTCTGTGTGCCTGTAGATCTTCACTGCCTACATGTGAAAGATAACTCAAGCAGGAAGTTGAGAGTTACTGTTAAACTCTTTCTGCCTCCATAATTTGGGAAGATGTTTAAAGTTGAAGAGGCTTATCCAATATTTAAGAGCATGACATATCCAGTTATAATCACAACTGGAGATTTTGTAGAACACAATGTAAGTCTGCTCTGTTGCATCTGTGTTTAGCCAAATGAACAAGGCAACAGAGACGGTCTTCCTGAAAAATACTGTAAGTGACAATCATGCCCAGTTGCAACTGTGATATTCTACTACACCCCTACATCAGTATCACATTTTCTGTACTCAGGCAGTATTTCTAATACTTTTTTTTTTTGAGAATTGCTCCAGTTTTGATTTTTTGTTAACAAAATTTTCATTATTAAATCAAGCAACAGCTATCAACTCCCCACATTTTCAGAACACAAGTCAAATATCATGACCAAGATATTTTATGAAGCATGTTTCACATTTACAAATCAGGCAACTAAAATCTAGAACACTGCATGTCTTGCAGCTCCCAGTCTGCTTCAGGAGGGTTTCAGTTTCCCAAACAAGTACGTTTCCTGAAACATGGCACTATCTCATGGTGAGGAGGAATGTTTCCAGACATCAGACATGAACACAAAAGGGGCTTAGGATCAAGAAAGTTTACATCTGATAAGGAATCAATAGGGACATGAGGTGGAATCAACCTATGATCATGTTTGCTTTTTTGTTGTTGTTGTTTTCATTTTAATAATAGATATTTCCAGCCCTGATATAATCCTTGATCTAGAAATAAGTAGAAAATTATTAAACAAAACAAAAAAAGAATACAAAAACCCAAACAACTCAGCAAAACACTGGGAGCTCAGAGTTTGCACTTGAAAGTCAAATGTGGCTGGAGTAGTATTAGAATTTACTCTCCTTGGCCAGAATAGTACAGTCAAGCACGCTGACATGATTTGTATGGAGAGGAGCCTTCTGTGGTATGACAGTCAATAGTCCCAAACACATGTACACCAGGAAGTGAAAAAGCATTCTGCTGATTATGGGGTGATATCTTGGAGCATTTAGAGATTTTATATGATTGCCCAGGGTTGTTGTTCTCTGACATCATGTACTTGTCACGTATCAGTACAGTATTATTTTACAAGTCCACTCACTCTCAAGAGATTACTAGAAACAATTTGTTGGACAGGATGACAGCCAAGGGATTGTCAGTAAAGTTTTAGGGTGTTTGAAATTCTTTACGTGGAGAAAAAAAAATAGTCTGGAGTTCCTGGTAAATTCTGAGAGAACAGGTAATTAACTCAAAACTAACTATGGAAGTATGCAGAGAATGATTGCCCTGTAATTATGACACCAAGAGCTGGCTGCTGCAATAATTTCTGTAGAGTGCAGTCTTACAGTGCAGCCTGCTTATTTTGTGATTGTTTGGCAGATGAACAGGTTGTTAGCCACTTCCATAAGTAGAGTCAGCAAATAACTGGATGATAGATGACTTGTATTTGCAATGTTTCACTGAGTTACCACCTCAAGTTGCAGTATTTGCTTCACAAAAATTGTTAGATTGTGAGAAATTTTACGCTGGGGAAGAGCTCAGCTTTATTCCCTGGGCAATGACATTTTGGCAGAAATACTTTGAAACAGTAGAATGTTAGCCACTGGGTATTTCTGCTAAGACAATTATCACAAGAATCCATTAATAAATTGCAAAGGAAGGCATGATCTAGGTATTTTGCATTGTTACTTTGCAAGTCTGACAATTTCTTACATATAGCAGAACACTAACAGCTCATGCAAGTGTTTGAAAAAATTAGTGATTCTGAGGAAAAAAAAAAAGTAATATGGTCTCTAATCACTGATAAAACTTCAGCTTATATTAGTTACACTCAGAATGAACATGTATCACTGATATCCTCAGGAGTGGCTAGGGGTTTGTTTTTTTTTGTTATCAGCAAATAATTAGAAGTTAACACTTAATGAAAAATATTAAATATCACAAACTCAGAATAACAAAATCAATACATAATGATAAAGTCTCAGAACAATTGTACTAAATATAACAGTTGGGGATTTAGTTTTTTGTTGGTTTTGTTTTTTTTTTTTTTCCAAAAATAAAATATAGACAATTCTTATGATTCCCAAACTCATCAACTGGACGTCACAAAGTCATAGGCTCAGCAAATAATTATGTAGGCATGTAATAAAGAAAACACTGTAGTCAAACATTTCTTACAGAAAACATCTTGAATTTTTTTTTTGTATTTTAATAAGCACAAAATGCATGTTTCTAAGCAGGCAACAAATAACTTGGTTACATATAGAATGAGGGGTTTCTTTTAGTGTTATTGGCAAATACAGAGAATGATACTTCTCTTAATATAATGCAATAACATCACCAGATGGATGGTTACTAGTTACACACAGTGAAGGGTCCTTGGGAATTACTGAGATGTGAAGCACCATGAATTTAACCTCAATCTTTAAATAGGCTGTACCTTATCCAATTTTGTCCTTCCAGTCTCTTAGGAGTAACTAATATGAGTAAATAATACTAATAGTTGCTGCGATTTTTACAAAGGTGTACTTTATGTGGCGTAATAATTTCCCACAGTTTGTTGATTCAAAATTGTTTAAAGCTACAAGCTAAGCTTACTTGGTTCATCCTCACTAACACCCACATAGTCTGAGGGTTGTCAGGGTTCATGGGAAACAGAGTACGGTTTGACAAAACTATATTCATACAATATTATGTTTGTTAAGTATATCATTTCTGTTGAAATAAAATGTTTCCGACAGAACAATTGTGATCATAAATAAGAATTAATTTGGACCAAAGTTGACCCAAATGTTGGAACCTCATCTAAATATATATTTGCGGAGCCACTAATAACTTTCAATTCTTCCACCACTCTGTTTTGAATTCTTCTGTTCTCGAAGAAAACTCTCTATTTCTTTTCTTCCCCTCTACTACTATCCTGAGTTTTTTCCAATGCTTAGTAATGTCTCTTTACACATCAGTCTAAGTATTAACAAATCAAGCTCCATTCTATTTCTTCAATCTTTATATCCCTGATATGTGTCCAAGTTTATTCTTTACCTGGGGCACCAGGTATTTAACATACATAGGCTCTGACTGACATTAAAGTCCTGTCACTTACCTATTAAGTAGCATATCAATTACTGTGTTTTTATTTTCTTCCAGCGGTTACATAATATCAAGAAAAGGGTGAGGAAACAAAAGCTGCTTCATCTTCAGCCCTCCAGGAAAATAAAAATTCCACTGGCAAGCTCCAACAGTTGAGGCTATCAACAGATGTGAACTAAGGAAAAGGTATGTGCCTTGAAGTGCCTTTTGAAACATTTTATTGTCCAGTATTTTTTGCTATAAAATTAAACAATATAAGAAGCAGCATTCAAACACATCTAAACACTTCTCTGATTCAGTACAACATCCTGCAGGGTGTAAAATGGAACTAAATCAAAATTGGTGGAATAGTACAAAAATTGTCAAATAATGTTTTTGTTGGATATTGCTGCCATTTCCTAGGAATGAAATTGTCAAAGATGCTTCAGAAAGTTTAGTTTCTGAATACCACTGACTTCTACCAGGACTTAGGCATCTAATTTCATCAGGGCCCTGAAAATTCTAGATAGCTATCAATTGTTGTTGCCTTTTTAGGAATATTGGCAAAATATAACCATAAAGTAATAACTGAAAAAATAGTTTAACAGTTTTAGGCCACATCTGTGTGCTAACTTCAAATGTGTTGTTCTACTTCAGTCTATCTGCATAGAGAAGCTTGTTAAGATCCCTTGAAAGTTTTGAAGTACGTCCTGGTTTCAGACATCAGTGTAAATTCCAGTTTCTTCAAATTCTTGGTTTTGGATTACTGGGAAAAGAAGGAAACTAACGCAAATACAAGATAAGAATTCAAGAGCAATGCTTAAGGCACTGCCAGATACTTCAGTCAGCAAATAAAAATTAGTTAAATTAAAATGACATGAGAAAATAAATATAAGGATCCAAAAATTTTGTATAGAAAAATAAAAATGGAAAAACATGCAATAAATTACTCGTGGCTTTTTAAAAAGCTATTATAAGTATTAAAGTCACTTTCTTAGAGAGTCATTTCTTAAGAAAAGCAAATGGGGCCAGGCTTGTATTATGTATTAATATTTATAGAATAAATATTTATTTATATACTTTCCTATATA